GGACTCTCACAGCCTGAGCAGCAGATGTGTTTGAGCTTCCAGCTAGATCTGATCATGCTTACATGTGAGCGCCTCCGTTGTTTTCATGTCTGTCCTCGTGCACTTCATCAGCTCTGACAGTTCTCCATGTCTATGTCAGGTTAATCTCTGAAAAACATCTGCATTCAGTTTGTTGGCAACAGGACAAGATATTGCCATCGGAAGAGTGCTGGTTTCCATTTGTAGTCTAAAGTTCTTACCAGTCACGCCCTTGCAGGCTTTGGTTGAAGTCAGACAAACAAGTCTGTGTGGAGAGCAAATGAGGCGGAATGCAATCTGGGAACCGATTTTAGCTTCATATCATTGTTCATATGTTTAGAATTGGCTTGTAAACATCTCAACTCCAACTTTTTGCAGTTAAACGTATTTGTTATCTTATTGAGAGTTGGATGAGAAAAGATGATAACACACTCACGTTTGTGCTTTAGATTTGAAGCCACAGCCAGGAGACTGCTAGTTTAGCTTAGCATAAAAGCTAGCAAGATAAGAATTTATTTATTTTTAAACCTGCCTTCCAATTATTCCCTTAATCTGCATCATTTTATGACAAATAAGACTTTTACTGAGATGGGAACTGAAAGAATTTAAAAGTATGTTCTCTCTCTTCAGATTTATCTGAACTTTAGCTCCAGGCTTCCTGCGACGCCCACAGCCAGGGAGGAGCCCGGTTCTCAGATCGCTGCACTTCACCGCCTCAACTCAGCCGGTAACAACAGCGCTCCGACTCCGACCCAGCCCTTACTGGTCCAGCACGAGGTCTTCCTGGAGGGGACAACCCTCAGAGCCCAACGGGTGTGAGGACCTGCCCGACCGGTCTGGCTGCCTCATAAAGTGCCTGTAATGTTCCGTCACAAAACCAACCACGACACCCGCCCACCAGCCCCGGTTCCAGCCTGTGTTGCATTGCTAGACGAATGGTAATTGCCATCTATTACCAGAACCAACAAAAGACGGATGGCTGTGATCGCTGTTGCCTGCAGATTATAGGGAGGACAGTTGGACTAATGCTCCCATGCTCATAGCAGAGAACTGTTGAGGCACCTGGGAAACGGTGGAGGGACATCAACATTTTGTTTTTTGTTTCAGTTACATTTTTCCAACACATTTCATAAAGGTTGTTCTATTTCTTTCCATCCATTGGAAAAACTTGTTTTTTTTTGTTTTTACATTTTGTGTTTTTGTTATTCTTTGTTGTTATTCCTGATATTTATGTAGCATTTTATTTTCTCTTCTTTGTTTTTTTTTTGGTTGGCTGTTGCAATCGTTGGAGGAAAAGCATTTGAGGCACTTGAACTTCACATCTTGTCAAACACACACTCACCACATAATGCAGCTCTTCTTTCTCTTTTACTGTCAGTATTATTTCCAACTGTTCAGATCTACGTTGATATGAAGGAGATACTTTTTTCGGGGGCCAATTTGAGTATAGATATGGAGACACTGGTGTATAAGCTATTAGGCAGCATGGTCGGTCATGCTTAGACTCCATAAGCGCTTCAAGTCGATTAGGAAAAAGAATTTCTGCTCTTTTTTTTTTAATGTACGATATTGCTATCTAGAGAGAAACTACTGGATCTGTTAACAGGTTACATCAGCCCACGATTATTAACACACATTTGTCTTCAGAGATACGAAACAGACACGGTACGTTAGCTTTTCATTTGATGTGCTTGTTGACTGTTGATATGATACGTATCTATAGGTGAAGATGTTGATGATGGGAGGTCACGACAAACGAGACACTCTGAGAAGCCTGTGGCTCTGAGTCTTTAGCTCTGTTACATAAGCATGCAGGTGTGTAGTTTCACTTTTTGACAGCTGGACTGCTGGAGAGTTCTCTTTGTAAAAGTGTAAATAACTGTTCATGGTTTATGTGGTTTGCTCTCCCGCCACATCCAAGTGTGTGGTCTTTGTTTACAAGCATGAGACAGGTACTGCCATTTCTGCTTTTTCACCTTCTTCCCCTTTAATGAAGGACCGGGAAACGGGACCCTTTCTGTTTTGGCTGATGGGCTGTTTTTTGGTTGTAGCTCTCTGTTGTACAGATAAAGTTGAGGGCAATGCCTAATAAGTGGACTGCAATATTCTTTGAGTCGACAAGACAGTGGGTCTTCTTCAACAATCCGGTCTCATTCCCAATTCGTCAGATACCGACCAAACGGTGGCCCTCGGTGACTTATACCAACGCACTGGGATGGCAGCTAACTCCAGTAAAATATAGAGTGAGATTGTCCACAAAGGGTCAAACAAACGCAGGACTTTCGTCCGTGTCGACCGCTGTTCGTGTCTCGTATGAAACTAAAAGTAATCGTTGACCTTTTGTCACATCAATCGTTAGTCATTAGTGTCGGCGGTCCCTTGACTCGTTTGTCACTCGCTAGTCGATTGAAAGTGAGACGACCACGCTCTTTTCCTGAACCTAACTTAGTGGTTTTGTTGCATGAACTTCCTGTGAAGACGGAAGTTTTTTTTTCCAAAAAGACACGGTGCATGTAACAAGTGGAAACCATAGACTCTGGACGTAGTCATCGTGACGTCACCCGTTGGTTTGTGGGCCGCTGTTTTGAAGCTTTGAGTTCGGCGATTTAAGTCACCATCTTGTTTTTGCAACCAGTGAACAAGAAGTGACCATATCTGGACTGAGGAGGAGTGACGTAGAGATGCCGTATACGACTCTGGTAGAGACCTGTCAATCACTGTGTAGCCCCGCCCCTAAAGCATCCCCTGCTTTATGGTCTGACTCTAAATGGACCATAATGTACTAAATGAACATCATGCTGTATTGAAGAAGACTTGAAACTAGAGATTGAGACCATAAACTCATGTTTACAATGTTTACTGAGGTAATAAATCAAGAGAGAAATAGACTCATTTTCTCATAGACTTCTATACAACCAGAGGAGTCGCCCCTGGTGGACACTAGAGAGAATGCAGCTTTAAGACATCGGCTTTATGTCTTTAAAACCGGAGGTTCCCGCCTGGTGGAAACTGACCCGCCGTCCAAAACGTAGAGCGTCATCGTTTAAAGCTAAAGGCCACTGAACTTGTGTCTATATTTGACGAGTTGGGAGTGAGAATGTGTCGTCTTCAAGGCTCTCGGCCGTCAACGCTCAGCTTCAGCGTGTCGGTCGTCTCATTGTTCTCGAACCAGTAGCTGGTTTCCCAGCAGCCCTTCCAGCTGTTTCCTCCACCAGATGTGGGACTTTTCAGCACCTCTCAGCCGGTAGTCTGCACCAGTCCCAGACCATTATGACCCACCCCCCCACCACTGGTGGCCGTGGTTGTGAAGAGCACCAGGAAAGTGTCCTGTTTGAGTGTATGAACATGTGTGTATGTGTGTGCGCATGCCTGTGTGACTGCAGAATTAAAAGAAATACTGTCAAGAGGTGCCACTGCTAAAGATTCATCAAGTCGTTTAGGCTACAAAAGAAAACCACAGTCTTACTGCTCTGTCTTTTTGTAAATATAAATGTGCGTTTTATTGTAAAGAAGTAATGTCGCCGCTTTTGAAGATGTTTATCTCAATGAAGATGTGGTACATTGATGCAGAGTTTTATTATGCCGTATTTTCTTAATGTGTGCACAGATTTCAAACTGTTGGTTCAACTGGAAAAAAAGAAGAAGAAACAGAAGCTGCTTGTGTCTCTGTCACCATGGTAACTTAAACGGAGATTATCTTTGGATAGATTTTGGCTGATTCATCATTTCAAACACTTACGGCAGCTCACTCGGGCCCACCGCCGCATCCAAACACACCAATGATCACATGTGATCAGCAATATCAGCAACAACAAAAAAATACCAATGAGATTATTTTTAAATTCTTTGCTTCCCTAAGAGCTTTTCCTGCATTTTGCTACATATTTATTAAACCTGAGGCTTTAGTGTTACTGTGTAATTTTGATGTTGTTGTCAATGTAAATAAAATTGTGTATATTGAATTCCCAATGAAACCTTTTTTTTTTTTTTTCATTAACATCCTTGCACAGAAACACTTCCTGCTCAACACACTGTCATTCTGTGCAGCTGCTGTCGTCGCATGTCTCTTAAATTCTGCATAGTCATGCATGGAAACAGTTCCCACGCGTCCTGGAAAACCTGGAAAACAGTTGACCAATTTTCAAGTCAACGGGAACCAGTGCGATGCTAACTTCCTGTTGGCCTTCAACAGTATGAATCCCTGCAGAACTCTTTGACAACATAACGAGAGAAAAGTGAGCATGACAGGCTCCAAATAACAATATGAAAGCCAGCTTAAGTTACATCTTAACTAGCGACAGATCATTGGTGTAGTTAGACCGCATTGAATGGAGATGAAAGACAACAACAGGTATTTCTCCTTGGCTGTTTCTGTCACTAGTAAGACCAACCGAACGCTAAATAAAACATTTTTAGGCAACCAGAATGTAACAATTACCTTCATGAAGTGAAAACAGACGTGAAAGGGTTAAAGTTGTAAGAGAAAAACACGACAACTCCCAGACAGGACAACGCCGTGGTAGAGACCTGTCAATCACTGTGTAGCCCCGCCC